GCTTTGTATATTACTGTGAGTGCTCTGAGGATCGGCAATTTATTTGGAACAGATCTAGCATTTATGGGGATTAGGTAAAGATGAATGTTGAAATAACATTTGAAGTATTTAAGTTCGTTAGTCAGCCCCGTATGTGGTTCAGCACCCAGTAGTTTTTTAATAATAATAATGGTAAAGCTTTATTTAAGACAGTATGCGAGTATACGGTACGAAAATTTTCAGCGTATTCAGTTCCAAAGTACTTTCTTCACACAGGATTCACATGTAAAGTAATAATCTGAAGTATATCTTCATTTCATTGAAGAATTGTACAGCGTTTACTTGGGAGCAAGTTAAATCATCGCGCAAGTTGATGTATAGTTTATTTGATATAACTGGATGATTAAAACAATGATAAATCCAGATGAAATTAAGCATTTTGGAGGAAAGTAATTTCGGTAGCCCAATGATTTGAGCAGGCCGCCAGTTCTTCTGGACATGACGATTCTATGTTAAGAGGGGTTTCAGCATCATGCTAATCTATGTCTGTCTAGTTGTTGTGTGCTGTTTTCGGCGAAGAATTTGAAGTTGGAGTACTGGATTTGCTATAGGCTAAGGAACTTTTATTTTTAGTTAGGCTTCAGAAGTGGGTAGGATTCTTTATTTGACCTATACTTGAGCAAGTGTCAAGCGTGCATATTGGATACGGGTGCACTAGACCGTTCCTGTTTTCATGCAAGGAGGGAGCCAGCACTAGTGGTTTAGGAGTGTTAACATCCCTACCAGCTGTTTTTTCAACGCTGACAGGGACGCAGGGGATAAAAAATGATTGGATCCTTGTGATGACCATGGATTATTATTCCACCTATTGTTTGATGCTAGTTGTGTCCTTGTGTGGGTTTCGTGTGTACTGCATTCTGAGTTAGTTCCCAGCAGACTTGTACCATATATTCGGTCAAAATTTGTTTGTTTGCCATATTCTGAAGACCCTGAGTTGTTGGTAGCCGAGTTCTGACTATTACAACTTGTCAGTCACGTCCCAAAAACCGTTAATGCCCAGCTCTTGCTACGCTCGGGCCCACGCTGTTCCTTGCAGTTTTTCAGAAACGCTTAGTAATAACGGACGAAAAAACCAAAACACCGATTGGCCGCTTGGGAATTCTTTATTGTAACACCAACATATAAAAATATTTCTATTAAGGTCTGTGAACAAATATTACAATAACAAATCACAAGATTACTTCTGATGGTTGTCTCCTGACTTATTTCTGAACAGCGACCGATGAGACGATGACTGTCGTATTGATGCCTCCGCGAAAATATGGGGAAGTTGATTTTGAGCAAACAACCAAGAATTGATCGTTCAATCTTCAACTACATTGACACTCCCCGGCAAAAAAGGGATCCATCCCCTTTTTCCATCACGACAAATACACGTTGACTTGGATGCCATTGCGAGTACCTGGGTCACACGGACAGAGCTGAAATGAAAAACAAACAGAAAAGCCAACACACCACAAGCATACCCACAGTACAATCTCAAACATCAATGACGACCTGCGCCTCCAGACAGAGACCTTCTCTTGACATCTTGCAACAAAATCGCCACTTGCTAGAATGACTCTTGCAGGATGCAACGTGACCATAGCACCAACTCATGATACTCTACGCACATCCTCTTATCTACTCACTACCAATTACCACTGAAATCGCTTGTCACTCATTCTGCCTCAGTTATAGTAACGGTGACGCATGCGAGCCTCAGTCGTTTACACTCTTTCTCCCCGGCGTGTCGGATCACAGCTAACAATTATCTCCGTGTGCATTTCATTCTCAGCAATAGCCTAGCCTCCACGGCGTATACGACCCATCTGCTGTCTCTAACATCGATCAATACATTCACGCAATAACAACAAGATACGAAAACAACAAGTAAACACAATGAATCCAAAAAACACCAATTGATATGACACACCACACGTATATACAAATAGTACAAACAACCTCGCCGATCATGTCTTGATGGAATTCCTTCGAAGAATCGCAGGACTTACACCAGTACGCCTACAACCCTTCTCAGGTTGACGATTGTAATTTGTGGAATGTCCGGACACAAACAAGATTAACCAACAATTACAATAATTGGAACTCACACAACTATTTAACACAAACATATGTACAATAACTACATCAAATGTTGTGGATTCCGACATGACAAACTACCCTTGAAGAACTGTAGGACTTACAGCAGTACGCCTACATTCCTTCTCAGGTTGATGATCCAAGTGGAAGTCGTCCGGACACAAACAGAATTACTAACAGCTAGATGACAGATGATATCAATTCAGTATATACAATATGAACATATGTACAAAATCACACACCAAGCACATTGGACTGCTCATTGATGCGCTACCCTTTGAAGAACTGTAGGACTTACAGCAGTACGCCTACTTCCTTCTCAAGTTAACGCTCTAGGTTGGAGAATCGTCGCAGAGTTCACTTGCTAACTTCCTTCTATGAGCTATATCCTCAAATCTGAACGGCAACACGCCCATGTCATTGTATCGTAGAATATAGATGACCAACAAACACACGACATATCTCATCAACCAAGTGTAAAAACAGAGTAATTTACACCAAAGATAATAACATTCAAATAGTAACTTGAAACTAGAAATGCCTTTATTCGTGCAAGTCAATTTAACAATTACTCTCTCCTTTACACTTGGCTTATCCTCACTAAACTGACCATTGATATTCGTCCTTTCAAACGAACTGATACTAGCATAGTCATTGCACAAGATACTTGAGTTGATGGGCGTCGGTTTCATTGTGGATGACAGCACCAACGACGACTGATTGATACCAGTTGATGAAGTTAGCGGTGGATCAAAAGCTGTTGTTGCTCGGCTTTCAGATGTTTGTCTACCTGCAAGACCACCACCACTGCTGTCTTTTACTATCAGCTCAGGTTTAGCACTAGCATCTGATGATAGGTGGGCTACATGCTGATCACTTACACTGACGGTCTCACAAGTATGTATGCCTTCTGCAACTGCATCTGCATTTAATTCTACTTCACGTTGTAGTTGTACAGAACCTTTATTTAACTTAGCAGTAGTAGGCATTCCCCTCATTTCATCATGATCAACCAAAGACAAATCTGCACTATCATGATCATTATCACAAATATTCAATTTACCGTCAACTTCATCATTTTCAAACTCTTTAATAACAGAAGTAGACAATTTTGGTTCCTCCTCGCAAATCATTAAAGGTTTTATACCTTCACTTTGACTAGAAATACTTTCTAAACTTTTGGAGTCAGAACTGTCCTGTGAGACTGTAACTCTCTTCTGTGACACTCTATTCAACAATGGCTTACCAGTTGTAACTACAGACTTCTTCACCGCACCGTTATCGTCACACAATTCGGAGTCAGACCTGGAGTTTACATTTAGCTTATCACTGAACTTGCTCACTGGTTCACAGTTCACCTTTGTATGCACCACTTGCAAACGTGTAAAACACAACCGTGTTTGTCTTGCAGCTTGCAACTTATCTGTTGAGGATGTACTACGAAACCTGTTACACTCATTAGGTCTATATGCATTACTATACATCATGGAGCCTTCTCGATATCCACCTCTCTGAGGCCTACTCGTCATCAATGATTGCATTTTGCTCTCAGACTGCTCTATTCTAGGGGTGAGATGTAATAGACTGGCGAAATTACTCATAGATAGATTGACGCTACCTTTTTAGGATATTATCAAACTTTGGCTCGATACCCTCATCCTCCATAAGGGAGCTCATCTTCACCCACTTCCTTTGCAGTCGAGTAGGTAGACGTCTTGCTATTACTTCTAGTATAAAACTCGAGTTGAGGTCACTCATGTGATTCATCGAAATCATTCCATTCTTGTAAATCAGCAAATTATCTAAAAACTCAGTGAGTGCCTGGGAGTCATCCTGTAATTGACCACCATTACCCTTAACAGCCTCGAATAATTTCCCTGCAATCATCGAAGGTCTTCCAAACCTTTGACGTAATATGCTCATAGCCTCGTAGTAGCCCTCTTTCGGCTTCATAAACTTACAGCACTGTATAGCTCTTGCAGCATCTCCAGTGCAATATCTCATCAAATACATTAACTTCATTTCATCAGTTAATAAAAACCCACTCAACATGATTTCAAATTCCCTTACAAAGTGTAAATAATCAGCTGGGTTTCCATCAAAACACCGTGGTTCTAATTTAGGGAGTTTGATGTTCCTATTATCCCTGAACGGCGAAACAGTAACATCAACCATGTCATGTTTAACATCAGACACATCGTTACAATTAACAGACAAGTCACCATGACTTACTTTCCTGCTTGCATCCAAGACGCTCTGTCCCTTCTTTGACCCAGGCATTGTTGAGCTTGAACCAATTCCATAAAGGTTCCAGATATTGCTTGTTCAAAGAGGACTTGACTGGCACCAGGAAAGATGTATGGTGACCGTCCAAACTGTCACCAGCTATCTGAATCCGTCAGAAAATGTTTTACGCCGTCAGAAACTGTCAGCCACGTCTCGTAAACCGTCAACGCCCAGCTCTTGCTGCGCTGGGACTCACGCTGTCGCTTGAAGTTTCACAGAAACGCTTAGTAATAACGGACGCAAAACCAAAACACCGGTTGGCTACTCGAGAATTCTTTATTGTAACACCAACGTATATCCAACTTTAAAATTGAGCTCTAACTAAGGTCTATGAACTAATATTACAATAGTAATAATTTTTTATTTCTCTGATAGAAACCGGCCATTTTTACGGGCATGAACATATGTACACTTATGAAAACTTATAGAATATATAATATGGTTTGTTAATTTAGAAATAAGTCGAATACAGGTAAATGTGAGATAAACATTTAAAATGAGGTGTAAAAATAAGGAAATAGATATAGCGTCAAATCTAAACTGTGATTGAAAAAAATTCATGTCAATTTCACGCGGGAATCATAAATGATTGCGTTAGTTGGGAAGGTAAGTAGCATTTCCGTACAGGTGCTGACGTTATACATAAGAGACGCAGAAAAAGCAATAATTATCAGCAAATGATTCATAAAGTGTTTCAAAGTCTATAAAACTTCAAATTCACCCGTAAGTACACCATATTTGTGACATTTCCAGTTGTTTATGAGACCGACTTTGAACTTGTCAGCAGATTTTATAATATCGGTAATCCCGTTATCTACCAGATGAGCTGGCAATATCACGAATAAATGGAGAATAGCAGCGCAGTATCAGTACCTTCGTTGAAGGCAGTACCTTCGAAAAGAGAAGGAGACACAAGAAAACCGGCAGACAGGTGCAGAAGTATATAAAAATTGTTAATAATTCAAAATGTATAACAGGCATGGGGTTCATCATTTTTTATTGTTTTTTTCACTTTATGTGCTTATCGAATAACTCCAGCCATCAAGCTCTTTTTCAGTACTATCTTCAGAAATAGAACTTCTAAAGTTGTCTATAGGAGAACTTAAGGCTGAGTTAAGGGAAATAAAAAACAGTAAGTCAGTAAATGCTGGAAATATTCAAACCAATTCCTAGATATCCAAATTATCAGATCAGATCAGCGATATCAGATCGCAGGTCTGTGAACTGACACCTCTAACTATCCTCATGATTCCCAAGCGGCCAATCGGTGTTTTGGTTTTGCGTCCGTTATTACTAAGCGTTTCTGAAAAACTGCAAGGAACAGCGTGAGTCCCAGCGTAGCAAGAGCTGGGCATTAACGGTTTATGAGACGTCACTGACAGTTTCTGACGGTAGAAACAGACTTTGGCGGATTCAGACAGTTGGTGAAAGTTTCGATAGCCACCGTACATCTTTCCTGGTGCCAGTCAAGTCCTCTTTGAACAAGCAATATCTGGAACCTTTATGGAATTGGTTCAAGCTCAACAATGCCTGGGTCAAAGAAGGGACAGAGCGTCTTGGATGCAAGCAGGAAAGTAAGTCATGGTGACTTGTCTGTTAATTGTAACGATGTGTCTGATGTTAAACATGACATGGTTGATGTTACTGTTTCGCCGTTCAGGGATAATAGGAACATCAAACTCCCTAAATTAGAACCACGGTGTTTTGATGGAAACCCAGCTGATTATTTACACTTTGTAAGGGAATTTGAAATCATGTTGAGTGGGTTTTTATTAACTGATGAAATGAAGTTAATGTATTTGATGAGATATTGCACTGGAGATGCTGCAAGAGCTATACAGTGCTGTAAGTTTATGAAGCCGAAAGAGGGCTACTACGAGGCTATGAGCATATTACGTCAAAGGTTTGGAAGACCTTCGATGATTGCAGGGAAATTATTCGAGGCTGTTAAGGGTAATGGTGGTCAATTACAGGATGACTCCCAGGCACTCACTGAGTTTTTAGATAATTTGCTGATTTACAAGAATGGAATGATTTCGATGAATCACATGAGTGACCTCAACTCGAGTTTTATACTAGAAGTAATAGCAAGACGTCTACCTACTCGACTGCAAAGGAAGTGGGTGAAGATGAGCTCCCTTATGGAGGATGAGGGTATCGAGCCAAAGTTTGATAATATCCTAAAAAGGTAGCGTCAATCTATCTATGAGTAATTTCGCCAGTCTATTACATCTCACCCCTAGAATAGAGCAGTCTGAGAGCAAAATGCAATCATTGATGACGAGTAGGCCTCAGAGAGGTGGATATCGAGAAGGCTCCATGATGTATAGTAATGCATATAGACCTAATGAGTGTAACAGGTTTCGTAGTACATCCTCAACAGATAAGTTGCAAGCTGCAAGACAAACACGGTTGTGTTTTACACGTTTGCAAGTGGTGCATACAAAGGTGAACTGTGAACCAGTGAGCAAGTTCAGTGATAAGCTAAATGTAAACTCCAGGTCTGACTCCGAATTGTGTGACGATAACGGTGCGGTGAAGAAGTCTGTAGTTACAACTGGTAAGCCATTGTTGAATAGAGTGTCACAGAAGAGAGTTACAGTCTCACAGGACAGTTCTGACTCCAAAAGTTTAGAAAGTATTTCTAGTCAAAGTGAAGGTATAAAACCTTTAATGATTTGCGAGGAGGAACCAAAATTGTCTACTTCTGTTATTAAAGAGTTTGAAAATGATGAAGTTGACGGTAAATTGAATATTTGTGATAATGATCATGATAGTGCAGATTTGTCTTTGGTTGATCATGATGAAATGAGGGGAATGCCTACTACTGCTAAGTTAAATAAAGGTTCTGTACAACTACAACGTGAAGTAGAATTAAATGCAGATGCAGTTGCAGAAGGCATACATACTTGTGAGACCGTCAGTGTAAGTGATCAGCATGTAGCCCACCTATCATCAGATGCTAGTGCTAAACCTGAGCTGATAGTAAAAGACAGCAGTGGTGGTGGTCTTGCAGGTAGACAAACATCTGAAAGCCGAGCAACAACAGCTTTTGATCCACCGCTAACTTCATCAACTGGTATCAATCAGTCGTCGTTGGTGCTGTCATCCACAATGAAACCGACGCCCATCAACTCAAGTATCTTGTGCAATGACTATGCTAGTATCAGTTCGTTTGAAAGGACGAATATCAATGGTCAGTTTAGTGAGGATAAGCCAAGTGTAAAGGAGAGAGTAATTGTTAAATTGACTTGCACGAATAAAGGCATTTCTAGTTTCAAGTTACTATTTGAATGTTATTATCTTTGGTGTAAATTACTCTGTTTTTACACTTGGTTGATGAGATATGTCGTGTGTTTGTTGGTCATCTATATTCTACGATACAATGACATGGGCGTGTTGCCGTTCAGATTTGAGGATATAGCTCATAGAAGGAAGTTAGCAAGTGAACTCTGCGACGATTCTCCAACCTAGAGCGTTAACTTGAGAAGGAATGTAGGCGTACTGCTGTAAGTCCTACAGTTCTTCAAAGGGTAGCGCATCAATGAGCAGTCCAATGTGCTTGGTGTGTGATTTTGTACATATGTTCATATTGTATATACTGAATTGATATCATCTGTCATCTAGCTGTTAGTAATTCTGTTTGTGTCCGGACGACTTCCACTTGGATCATCAACCTGAGAAGGAATGTAGGCGTACTGCTGTAAGTCCTACAGTTCTTCAAGGGTAGTTTGTCATGTCGGAATCCACAACATTTGATGTAGTTATTGTACATATGTTTGTGTTAAATAGTTGTGTGAGTTCCAATTATTGTAATTGTTGGTTAATCTTGTTTGTGTCCGGACATTCCACAAATTACAATCGTCAACCTGAGAAGGGTTGTAGGCGTACTGGTGTAAGTCCTGCGATTCTTCGAAGGAATTCCATCAAGACATGATCGGCGAGGTTGTTTGTACTATTTGTATATACGTGTGGTGTGTCATATCAATTGGTGTTTTTTGGATTCATTGTGTTTACTTGTTGTTTTCGTATCTTGTTGTTATTGCGTGAATGTATTGATCGATGTTAGAGACAGCAGATGGGTCGTATACGCCGTGGAGGCTAGGCTATTGCTGAGAATGAAATGCACACGGAGATAATTGTTAGCTGTGATCCGACACGCCGGGGAGAAAGAGTGTAAACGACTGAGGCTCGCATGCGTCACCGTTACTATAACTGAGGCAGAATGAGTGACAAGCGATTTCAGTGGTAATTGGTAGTGAGTAGATAAGAGGATGTGCGTAGAGTATCATGAGTTGGTGCTATGGTCACGTTGCATCCTGCAAGAGTCATTCTAGCAAGTGGCGATTTTGTTGCAAGAGGATGCCTTTAACTGGATGGCGCAGGTCGTCATTGATGTGTGAGATTGTGCTGTGGGTATGCTTGTGGTGTGTTGGCTTTTCTGTTTGTTTTTCATTTCAGCTCTGTCCGTGTGACCCAGGTACTCGCAATGGCATCCAAGTCAACGTGTATTTGTCGTGATGGAAAAAGGGGATGGATCCCTTTTTTGCCGGGGAGTGTCAATGTAGTTGAAGATTGAACGATCAATTCTTGGTTGTTTGCTCAAAATCAACTTCCCCATATTTTCGCGGAGGCATCGATACACCAGTCATCGTCTCATCGGTCGCTGTTCAGAAAGAAGTCAGACCAAAACTGTCAGAAGCAATATTGTGATTTATTATTGTAATATTTGTTCATAGACCTTAGTTAGATCTCAATTTTAAAGTTGGATATATGTAGGTGTTACAATAAAGAATTCTCGAGTAACGAACTAGTGTTTTGATTTTGCGTCCGTTATCACTAGGCGTTTATGTGAAACTTCAAGGAACAGCGTGAGTCCCAGCGTAGCAAGAGCTGGGCGTTGACGGTTTACGAGACGTGGCTGACATTGGGCTTATTTAAGCTGACACTGTGTTTTTGGCATGATTTGGGGTCATATTTTTCTTACCTTTGTCAGTGGAATCATTGCTAGGAGAGGACAGTGTCAAATTTCGGGGGGCTTTGACTTTCTGCTGGGGTTATTTAGTGGCATGTTAGAATCTGCGTTGATATTATCGTTATTTCTCCCTTGGGTTCCTAGTGGAAGATAGGGCTTCAACTGCACGCCTCAATTTGCTTCTGTCCTCTGCTGTACTTTCACCTGCATCCATGTTAGTCCATACTCTTTCAGCTCCTTTTCACACGATCTCCTCCATTTCACCCTTGCAATGACGTTACACTCGCCGCTTCCCTTCCGGGTTCCACTCGAGGGCTTGATGCGCGATGTCACCCAGCGCTCTCCTCAGCTAGTGACCGATCCATCTCCACTTTCTCCTGCATATTTGTTGTTTGGGCGATTGGTTCTTGTTCTGTTTGTTCCCTCAGTTTTTTGTTGGTGATTCTTTCCGGCCATCTGATCTTCAGTATAGAGCCAGCGAAGACAGTTGCTGGTTGATAAAGGTCTGCAACAGGCCTGTCACGTTTCTGATCCGTATAGAAGAGCTGACTGACTTGACGTTGGTATTGAAAATCCGACCGAATTTTGTTGTTGATGTTGAGTGACTAAGACTTCCAGATTGGTTTCAGGTTGATGAATGTACTTCTCGCCTTCGCGATTCTCAATTTGACATCCTCGTCCATTCCGCCTTCCTGAAGTCGAGACAATTCTCCCTAGATAATTGAATGAATGAAGTAACCTCTTTCAAATCTCTCCCGTTGATGGTGATTGGCGCTGGATGTTGCTGCTGTTGTTGATTGGTTGGTTGGTTATTTTCATAGCCTCCGTCTTGTCTATGTTCACCTGGAGTCTTGTCTTCGCTGGCTGCTTCTTCGACCAGTTTGTCGGTTTTCGCTTGTAAGTTTTCGATTTTGTGTGGCATCAAACATAAATCATCCACGCGCGAAATCCAGGTCTTCTAGGTTCTTCACCTCGGTCCAGGATATTACTGTCTTCTTGTTTCCCACTGTCTGATGCATAATCCAGTCCATCACAATTAGGAATATCATTGGTGATAATAAGCCAGCACCCTTGTTTGACTCCTGTGTTTATTCCAAACGCCTCGCTGAGTTTTCCGTTGTGGATCACCTGACATGTGGCGTTGTCGTACCGCTGTTGAATAAGGTTGATGAATATTTGGGGTACACCATAGTACTCGAGTAATTTCCAAATAACTTCACGATCAACGCTGTCGAAGGCCTTTTCAAAGTCTATATAGTTAAGGTAGATGTTTGATCGCCATTCCATGCTTTGTTCTGTGATGATGATGCGTAGAGTTGCAATTTGATCAGAACATGAATCGCCTTTCCTGAATCCAGCTTGTTCTGGTCGGAGTTCTGTCTCCAGTGTGTCCTTTAATCTCTCCAGGATGATGCGACTCAGGATTTTACTTGGCGTCGACAGGAGCATGATTCCTCGTCAGTTCTTGCAGAGTGAGGCGTAAGTCTCCCTTCTTTGGTAGTTTCACGAGGTAACCTTTCTTCCAGTCAGTAGGCACCTTTCCCTCCTTCCAGACCTTTTGCAATAATGGAGTCAGCATGTCTGCTGTAGTCTCTGGGTCCGCTTTCAGTGCTTCAGAGGGTGTTCCATCTGGTCTAGCCGCTTTTCCAGCTTTCAGAAGCCTGATTGCTTTCAAGACTTCAGCTTTCGTTGGAGGATTGGTGCGCACTGTTGTTGGTATTTCTGGACGGGCTGCAGGTTGTGGTAGGTTCAAGAGTCCTTTGAAGTGATCCGCCCATTGTTTAATCTGTCTTTCTTCCTTGGTGATTGGGTTCCCTTTGTTGTTTTTTATGGGTTTCACTTGTCTTGATCTCTTACCGAATAGAGGCTTGATTATCTGATATAGTGTCCTCAGGTCCCTTTGCCTGCTGCCTTCTCAGCTTCAGTGGCCAGATTGCCGTAGAATCGTCTTTTGCCCTTCCTAGCACTTTTCTTCACTTCTTTGTCCAGTGCTTTGTAAGTTGAGCTCAGCGTCTCCTTCTCCTGTCCGTCCTTGCATTGAATCATTTTCTCTTTCACCATTCTCCTCTCTTCTATTAGTTTCCAAGTGTCCGTTGAGAGCCATTCCTTGTCCTGTCTCTTCTTTCTTCCTAGAACCGTTGAACACGTTTCGTTGAGAATCGGCTTCGGAGACTTCCAATGTTCTTCCACATATGATTCTTCAGTGATGTCGCGTAGTGTTTCCTGCTTTGCTCTGACAGTTACAGTGAAAGTGTCCTTTGTGGTTGTGTCCTTCAGTAATTGGGTATTGAACTTGCATTGTGGCCTATCCCCAGCTATCCTCGAGGCTTTTAGCTTCACCTTGAAAGTCCCTTGTACTAGATAGTGGTCTGAACCCACATCTGCTCCTCTCCTCGACCTTGTGTCCAGTAGGCTCCGTCTCGACTTCCTTGAGATTGAAATGAAGTCTATCTAGTTTTTGGTGTGTCCATCTGGTGAAATCCATGTCGCCTTCTGTATTTCCTTGTTTGAAAACGCTACCACCAATCAACAAATCATTGAAGGCGCATAAGTCTGAGAAGAGTTCACCATTGTCGTTCATTTCACCGAGGGCCTCACAACCCATGGTGAGTTCTCTTCCTGTGTTGTCTCCTCCCAGCTTCGCATTCATATCACCCATCAGGATTTTGATATCGCCATTTGAGACGTTGTCCATTACCGTTTGTAGTTGTCTGTAGAAAGCCTCCTTCTTCTCTTGTTCTGAGACGTTTGTAGGCGTATAGCATTGAATGATTGTAAGCTTCCTTCCTTCTGAGTTGAACCTGGCTGTCATTATCCTGGAGGAGATTGGTTCCCACTGCATGAGAGCTTTGGCTGCTGTTGGTGA